AAAGGTAGTTTTGTTGGTAATGGTGTTAGTATTGGTATTGATATTAGTAATGATACTGGCATTAGCATTGAGGTCCGTTTTAATATTGCTATTTGTATTGAGATTGGTATTATATTATTATGTATTGATATTGGTATTCGTTTTAGTATMGACAATGTTATTWGTATTGGTATTGATATTGGCATTGGTACTTATTTTGGTATTAGTAATGGTATTGGTAATTTCATTTGCATTGAGATTGGTATTGGTAATGATATTTGTATTAAGATTGGCGTTGGTGTTGGTATTTGTATTTGGATTGCTTTTGATATTGGTTTTAGTATAGGTAATGGTATTTTTATTGGTTTTGGTATATGGTAGGTAATCGTTTTAGTAGTGGTACTGGTATTGGCATTGGTATCAAGAATGGTATTGATATTTATATTGAGATTAGTATCGATTTTAGTTTAGGTAACGCTATTTTTATTGGTTTTGGTATTAATACTGGTACTGATATTGGTTTTAGTATAGAGTATTGAGATTAGTACTGGTACCGGTATTGCTATAGATACTGGTATTGATATTGAGTTTGGACCCTATTTTAATTATTATAYGATTATTTCGAAAATACTAATCATAACGGAAAATGAATGATTCTATAAATATTAAACAAACTAAAATGAGAGAGATAATGATAATTAAGTATGCACACATGTTAGCAAACATACTGCAAGTAAGGAGCTTTTTGTTCAAACACTCAAACAAGGACCTTGAATGACTTCTAATGTCTGTTCCGCTTACGTGAACACTACAGATGAGCTAATATATAACATTTTCAATTATGCATACGATACCGCTAYTTAAGTGAGTGTAATATAAGCAACTAAATCGGCGACCGCATACAATAGCTAATAATCGCACAGGCTTACATACTCGTACTTATGGCCGTATACGAGTGTGGCATTTATGGACGCCTAGTAGTCGTGTGATAAATATATACCTACGTATGCGTTTTTATCTGATTTCCTGTAATTGATAGCATTAAGTTGTCAGACATTTCACTTTCATTGCACGGCAGCGCGTGAAACAAACACACACACAGTGGACTCATAATAATCGATTATTGGTAGCTGAAAGCTAAACAAAGTGTTGAGTTAACACACTAGCAAGCGCTTACGTGTGTTTGTGTGTGTGTGTGTGGGCCTATCGGGAACACGTGTCAACACGCCAGCGCATAGAAAATGTGATATACGCGCCTAACGCAGCTATTGAAAACCACTTTTGTGGTTAACTTGCTGCAATCGGCCAACAGACAAACACATACATGCATACATACATACACACATACATATATATGTATGCATGAAGTACCTAGCGGCTTATAATTGGCATGCCGRTAACTATGAGAATGCGTGTCAGCGTGAGATACTCGTAYGCGCGCCTCGAGTGCCAACTTGCAGTGGCGCGGTGTCAACGCGGCGCATCGAGTGATTAGATATGCGCTTATAAATATATTTATATGCATGTGTATGTAAATAGTAGGTATATGTACYGCTACGTATGCTGGCAAGTGGGTTCGCGTGTTCCTCCAGWCATATTTGCTTAGTACTTGATGCGTTATGGCACTCTATCTACAGCGTTGGGCTTGAGAAAGGTGCGTGCGTTTGTGCGTTATGCTTTACTGTATATATGCGTGCCACTTTTGTAGTTGTATTTGTTGGCTATCAAGTGRTAATTCRTCATATTTCTCCGCACGCTTATCATTTTCCATTATTCAGTTGGGTAAATCGCTTGCATTGCGAGTCATTTGCGCTGAAAGTAGGTGAATTGTGGCAGRCAACATTACACAGATGTAAAGCTACATGTATACATRTGTACATATATATGTATGTACATATATTACGGTAAACATTTTCGAAGTTGTTGCTTTCATATGCACACGGCTTTTTTAGCGCTTCCACAGACGTATATGTCTGCGGCGAAACCAACGACGCGGCTGTGGTTTTCTGTGTTTTGTGGTTGTATACCACTGTGTTGTTGTTGTTGTTGTRAATTTTCAATATTTTTCAATGAAAATATTTCATTTATATTTTCGTGCGCATTCTGTGTATGCATGTGTATATCTATTTATAGCATATTTAAATATTTTTTTGAGATTATAGCATACTTTCAGACGCAAGAGATAATAATAGTAATATATATCATATTCCTTATCATGATAACAGTTACATTTAAAGGTCCCCGGCTACTTGAAATGTACGTGGCCACTTTTCAATTGACCTGTTCTATTATAAAGTATGTTGTCTTGCGCCTAGTAGTAGGCTATAACCTCAAATAAACATATATTTTGGCAAAATTCGGTCAGTGCATCGATWTTTGCCATCTTTTGCACTGGCTTTTTTCATCAAATGTGCCAATTTTTCGGTGATTTCGTCCTTCAAATGATCCGATAACCCTACAGTCGCTGTTSATGGTCCTTCCTCTATCAAGGGAGTCAATAAAAATTATTCCATGCGCGTTAAAAACGCCATAACCTTCTTAATCGCTTGAGCTTTGGAGCGGGTTCATCGTGTTCAGTCCACTCGGATGACGATCGTGTGGACTTCGGAGTGAAATGATGGAGCCATGTTTCAGCAATTGTCACATATCTACTCCAAACTCGGGTTCATTAAGCTGGAACATATCCAAAAACTCAATTCGTCGTTGTTTTCTGTAAAAAGTGAGATCGCGCGGCACCTACTTTGCACAGAGCTTTCTCAATCCCAAATATTCGTGGATCTTGAAATCTTTAGTCACTGAAAATTTCACTTTACGGTCATCCAAAATAATTTTTTGGAGTTTTTTTAGTGCTTTCGACGGTAACAAACTCTTTTCGGCGTCCATTGTGCTCACTGACTTCAGAGCTCATTTCATCACGTCTAAACTTAGTATACCAATCAGTGAAAGTAGATTTTCCAGAGCCCATGTCCGGCAACTCGTCAACAGACCAAATTTTTGCTTCAAACTTTTGTAGGTTAGGACTAACTTAAAGTAGATTTAATTCTGGTAGTGCCAACTTTATGTCCGTTCCGGCACCTTTCAATTGACAAACACATTTTTTTTTGTAATTTTTTTTACATTTCATTGAACACATATTCCTTATCGCCTCCTACAGGAATCCAGCCAGTCAATCACCTCGCGCGTGTTCGAGGGCTGCGGACGTCCTAGCATCGGCCGCACGCGTCGCGCCGTCAGCCCCAAGTTTAGCCAACCCGTCGCCATACAACAGMCGCAAGCGCAGTCATCGTCCATCATTTTAACCAGCTCCGATTCGAAAGTGATACGCAAACGCGCCACGCTGGACGTGCCAGCCGAGCAAATCGAATCGGATATTTTGGACATTGATGCGGACGTTGACGATGCGATTGTATTGCGTGAACGGCGCGCCGCTGAGCCCATCACAGACGAGCAGAGTACAGAAGGCGATAAGACAAATGATGATGCCGGTGTTGGCGGTGGCGCGGCGAGCAATGGTGGCGGCCGTGGCAGTGGACGCGACAAGCAACAGCGTCGCAAGAATCAGCAAAATCGCAAAAACGACGATGATAATGGACGCGAYCCGAATCTCGATAAGTTGGTGCGCGAGATTAGACAGCGTGTGAAGGAGTCRAAGAAGTTCTGGTCGAATCTGCCACATCAGATTTGCAGCAATGACGAGATMTCCACGTCCTCAGATGTCGACGGCATGTGCTGGAATGGACACACGATCGATAGGTGGGCAACGCACACACACATTGCTTTTTAAACCATTGCAATTTTAAACTTTTATTCACTTTYGTTGCAGATATATGCATCCGGTGACAAGCGAACAGAGCCGCAACCCTGAATTCCCTGGCAATCCGGCCACTACGAGTCAAACATCACAAGTTGCCACACAACTTTTCTACCTGAAGAATGTTATCAACCATCTGCGTAATGCGTACAATGGCCAGGACGTAGACTGGAGTGATCAAGGTAAGTCTAAAAAGCATTGCATACTTTTTAGCGCCACAAATAAACTCATCATTTATGACGTTCTGCTACAGAAGATGCGCTCTATGGCAGCGGTGCGGGCTCTGGTGCTGGCAGCGATGACGAGGATGATGATGAGGGCTCTGGCCTGAGTGGTGGTCCATTCACGCCACCGCATATGAAACCCACCGATCGTCCGGGCTCTATGCCAGCGAATAATATTGATGACGAGGATGAAGAAGATGTGGAAGAGCGTCGCATTACGGACAACTCGCATACGACACGTCCCAAATATCCAGGCAGCGCCGGCGCGGGTGTTGATACTGCTGCTGGCGGTGATACGAACTCCATTGACGATGACGAGGATGCCGACGACGATAATGATTTGAATGAGCAGAAGAGTGGTAGTGGCAATGCGGGTGCGAAGACGGCGCCTAAAATGACTTTGCGCCGCGCGTTGTTATTGTATTTACTGCCATTATATATGGCGTGGTTTGGTGGTGTTGTTGCCGATATGCTGTGATGCGTTGTTGTTGCTATTGCTTAAGTCGTATTAAGTACACGGACAAACAGTGGCGGCGTCGGAGTGCGTCGAGTCGAATTTGTATGAATTATAATTTATATTTTGTGTTTGAGGTTAAGTGGCAGCACTGGCGGGAGCGTGGAAATTGTGCAGTACAGTGTGAAAATAGTGCAGCATGCTTTCAGGCGTGGAAAGTTATTTGTTAAAAAAATTGAGTAGCATGCTTTTGGGCGGTGATTTGTTTTAAAACAAGAATTTTTTTTAATTTCCGGCGGAAATTGTGCATACTAAAAGTACTTTTAATCWTTTTATGGCAAACGCTGCAGTTTCAAAGTTTCACTGTAACATACTTTTAGGCGCTATAGTAATAACAACCTAGCTAATGAAGCAATGACTCSAACAAAACCCTAGCAATGTAGTTCAAGTACTTGAAAATATCCCCCAACACTACAATTGTTGGTGCTTTCCAAGTCAAGGTCTACTTTTAGGCGCATTCTATGTAAACGATATAACGAAAATACCCAGAAAGTTATTAGCCAGAGGTTGGCCGTCATTTTACGATTTATGTTTGACATTTTGCATTTCTGTACTTTCAATGTTTCATTATAGCATACTTTTAGGCGCTTCAGTAATACCAATCTCACTAAATATCAATAATTCGAAAAAAGCCTAGCATTGAAGGTCAAGAACTTTCAAACATCTTCCAAAACTACAGCAGTTAGTGCATGCCAAGTGAAGGTCTGCTTTTAGGCGCATTTCTATGTAAACTTGTATTATAACTACTTATTTACAACAAACAAATTASAAGAACAAACATGTTTAGCATAAGTATGGCAGAAAATTATGAATTGAACTTGAAGCGAAGCAAATCATTTATATACGTAAAACAAGAAAACAGTTATAAAAAGTTCAATAGCCGTTAAGTATAAAATTATATAATGAATTAATTTAAATTAATACTTATGTACCAGCAATTATGCTTAAAAATACATACAAAATGGCGATATGTATGAATGTGTGTGTGTATGGAAAGGTGAGTCATGTTTAACTAATGTGTGTATGTATGTGTGCTTCTTTGTGCGTGCCACTCTKTGTATGTGTGTGCGTAAAAAAAAAAACTTTAGGTCAGAATTTTAATTATTCTTTCGTATAAAATTTTTGTTGTAAACGCATGTCCGTTAAGTGCATATTTCTGTATTATATTTAAACTACTATTAACTGCGAAAAAAATTGTGTGAYGTGTGTGTGTTGAAAAGTGTAGTAGCATTTTAGGCGCTCTAATGAAGTATTTACCTTATAAGCTTATAATAATTTATATATGTAAACATTTTTTAATAAAACAAAAACTGATATACTTATGTATTAAAATAACTGTAATATGTTTTTTTGTTTTTACAATTGCGTGCGTTTGAAATGGTAAAAAAATAAAAAAAAATAAACAAATAATACTGAAAGTAAAAATAATGTAAGCTTAGGTATAACGGCACTTTAGGGAAGCCTTAGAATACGAAAAATGTTAATAAAAACTTATTTTTACAGCGATACTTGCATGGTGACTCAAAAAATTTGTATTAAAAAGTGCAAAATATTTTGGGTAAAAAAAATTGTTTTTTAATATTTTTTACTTGTTTAAAACAAAAATTCTTTGTTTTTAGTTTTAAAAATATTTTTTGTATAAAAACTTGTCTTGGTTTAAAATAATTTTTTTTTGGTTTTAAATTTTTTTAGTTAAAATTTTCTTTTTTTGAATATTTAAAAAATWTTTTGGATATAAAAAAATTTTTTTGGTTTAAAAATATTTTTTGTTGGGCAAATATAAAATTTTTTTTGCGTTTTAAAAAATAGTTTGGGTGTAAAAAAATTTTCTTACGCTCAATAAAATATTTTTATTCTTTCGTTTTGTTGTAAAAGATATACATACATACATATATATATTTTTTTGTGGTTGTAAAATTATTTTGTGGATAAATTATTATTTTTGCTTTCGAAAATACTTTGTTTTGGGTCTTAAAATTATTGTTTGGTGTTTTGGGATTAAAAAATATTTTCGAAAAAATAAGAAAATAATAGAAAAAATAAGAATAAATAAAATTTATTTGTTTTCAAACAAGATTTCGCTGGTATTGAATTTGTACGAAAATTTATAAAAAGGATTTTTTTTTAATATGAAAAAAATAAGAAATATCACCAACACAAACAAACATACTTTTATACCTGTTGAAACCGTGAAGTATACGTAAAATCTGTGTAGAAATATAAGCATAAGATAATGAAACAATAAAATTTTTGCTTGGACCCAAACATTGTCAGCGCTCAAAAAAGTTTTGCTTTATAAATGATCCGTTATTTTCGAATGYTTATGTTTTCAAAAATTATCTCAAAATACGTAATTTTTGCTGTGTAAAAAAATAAATWTAAAAAATATTTTCGAGTATTATCGTTTTCGAAAATTCGAAAATTATAAAATTGAAGCATACCTTTAGGCTGACTGAAGGCCCTACAAAAATAATGTTGTTTAAAAAAATRAATTTAAAAATATTTTTGAATATTCTCAATTTCAAAAATTTTAATATGAAATTATAGCATACCCTTTGGCTGACCCAAAGTCTARTGTATATTTCTCTACCAATTTTTGCATATTTATATAATTTAATTACCGYTAATTAACGGTAAAATTAATAGTTTATGCATGCATTTATGCTGTAAGCATAAGTCAGTGTGTTAGCTGTAGTTATGACCTCTTACTGAAATCATGTGCTACATAGTATATATTTATATGCAAATGAAATGCAAGCATTAATTCAACTTCTTTAATTTATGAACATATTATAGATATACATACATACATATATATATATATATTTAGTATATGAATATGCAACTGACACTTGTGAGAAGATGTAGAAGAGAATGTGATGATTATGAAAATTTAAAATATAACAAATAAATGTATACAAAATTAATTAAAAAAATGGCATTTTAATAAAACTTATAAAAATTATGAAAAAGTGGATTACAGTTCGTAAGTATAGTGTGGTGAGTGAGTAAAAGTACAACTTTACTTAGAGATGTGTGTTTGCCTATGCTTGCTGAACACTTAAAGAGTTTTAACATACAACAACAAGTAAAACAAAAAWCAAAGATTAACTTTGCCGGCAACGAAGCTATAATAACCTACACAAATAAACAGTTTTTCATGCAASAACTTGTTTTTGAACGTTCACTTTGTATGGCAGCTATATGCTATAGTGGTCCGATCTGAGCAGTTTCTTGTGAGATTATAGCGTTACCTTGGAAAATTATATCTGCAAAATTTCATTAAGATATCTCGTCAAATAAAAAACTTTTTTATGCAACAACTTGTTTTTGAACGTTCAGTTTGTTCGACAGCTATATGCTATAGTGGTCCGATCTGAACAGTTTCTTTGGAGATTATAGCGTTACCTTGGAAAATTATATGTGCAAAATTGCATTAAGATATCTCGTCAAATAAAAAACTTTTTTATGCAACAACTTGTTTTTGAACGATCARTTGTTCGACAGCTATACGTTATAGTGGCTCGATATGGATGATTCCGACAAATGAGCAGCTGCTTTGTGAGACAAACACGTCAACAAAATTGCAGATCGATATCTCAAAAACTGAGCGACCGTTCGTGCATAACCTGTGCAGGGTATAAAAATACTTTATCAATGGATTAACTCAATAAGAAATCTCACATATATGTACATATGTATATTTCATTTACAAACATACGTTGTGCATTTTCGATAAYACTAAAAAACAAGGTATTCAGCTAAAATTTATATAAAATATTTATTTAATTTTTTTTTCAACAGACCGCATTATATATACATACATACATACATATACATATATTAAAATATATAATAATGATATATAGTCTAAATAAATAGTATGTGCGCACAAATCTACACATGTATTAAGTATATAAACTATTACTAAGTAGGAGAAGCGCTGGCATCAATTGATCTTATATTGGTAGGTGTTTTCTTTGTAGAAAAGATGTAGACACTCAACAAGTGGTGGGATGAACAGACATTTTATAACTATGCGATTTGTAAAGTCTCAAAAATAAATTTAAAATTTTCAGTTTTATATTTTTAGCGAACTTTGCACCTCAGTTCCAAAATATATACACCAAACGCCATAGTCTAACAATCGAAAAAGTTGCTGGTAGTGCACAGTACTGTGTGTCATTGAACAGTTCTYYATCAGTAACGTTAAAAAAATCTTATTGCCTGCTACTGTTCAAGTAGTATTCGTTTTGGCCATTGAAGGCACACATTTCTGGACACGCACAACWCCACGTATGTATATACACTAAATTTACACCTCGACAGCCGGGCGTGTTTTGAAATAGACGAAGACAATAATGAGTAGCGCAAAGACACAAACTGCTGGTATTACAACGGTTTTTAACTGATTTTGTATCTCCAAATTCTCCAGTTTACGCTCCTTCTTCTGCTTGCGTGTCTCTTTCACCTTACCGCGMAGTTGACGCATTGTGCTATATTTTGACTATTTGCTGCGCGCTTACAAGGGAAACTGTATAAACAAAATATATTTATAAGTAAAATGTATTATATTTAGTTTATATGTTTAGCAGCTTACTTGTAAAMTTGTTGGTTTAAATTGGGTGGTAAAAACAAAAAAGTAAAAGCACTTGCTGCGAAACTGTTGCTCCAACCACTTGTCGAATGATTTTTGACATTTGACTACGTCAACAGATATTTAGGCAGCGGAGAAAGTTGGGGCCAGCAATGTTGCCAACGCTATACAAACGGCCCAAGAATTGGGGAAAATTAAAAAAAAAATTTGGGGATTCCCTATAAATTTGGGGACATTTTTCAATAAATTTGGGGAAATTTTTTTTATAAAAATTGTGGAAAATTTTACCAAAAATTTGGAATACTTCACAAAATTTTTTTGAATATTTTACAAAAAAAAAAAATTATGCAATTTCAAAACAAAATGAGGAAATTCTATAGAAAAAGGGGAAATTTAAAAAAAAATCGAAAATAATGACATTGGTCACTTTATTTCTATAAAATAACCAAAACATGAATCTAAAAATATTTTGCTGTTTTACTATAACTAAATTTTAAACACTACTTTATTTTACACTTCCAATTTACAACGCTCATTTCACGTTATCCATGAAATCTTTGGCTTCATTAATCTTCGCCGCCAAATAAGGAGAGCCACCGCGATCAGGATGATTCAGTAACATTATCTTTTTATGCGCATCCTTTATCTATACACAAAAAAGCATATTATTGGACGTGGTAAATGTTTGAGGCATAACAAGCAGACTAACCTTCAATTTAGACGCACTGGGACTCACGCCCAAAATCAAAGACGCCTCCCGTTTGTTCATTTTAGGATCGAAACCACCTTTGTAATATTTTGAGTTCGCTAAAGTTTCCGCATCAAATTTGGGTAGGTTTCTCATGGTCTCATTCAATTTCGTGGCCATAGCAGGCATGCGRCGCATWAGGTGCTTGCCAGCAAAACCAACCGCGGCCAGCCCAATGCCGGCAACAATAATAGAACTTGCCTGTGAAATAMATTAGTTTAACGAATAAATAATAGCACAATTATATTCCAATGGGTATACCATTYTATGTAAGCTCGTTAAATTCCTCCAGCTGTATGATTCTAGTAGTTTCACAAATTACGATGTTGTTTTCACATTTTTCTTATACAATCAAATGTCAAAGACAGCTGTTTTGAATCMCGACATGAAATTCTTGGAAGACACAATAGTGCCATATTTTGTTAGAAATTATATTGACATTATTTAATTAATTACACTTAAATATACAAATATGAAAACTTATCATATACAATTATGAAACATTGAAATTTAAGTTAATTAACTTTATATTATTATTAATTGCATGTAAGTTTTATTTCCTTGTACATCAAAACTTCAAACATTAATGGAACTCGCGTCACCCTGTGCGCGTTATTGTACATACGGCAGCACAGTGMTGCGTTATCGTCATCCTTTTCTTTATGGTGTTCGTGTGTTGTTTTGCCAATTTATGCAAAGGAAGTTTGCAAGTTTCTGAGTCTCGCGTATAAACTTCGAATTATAAAATATTTAATTAAAGCTGTGTATTAAAATTCAAGAAATACACATACATATTTGCGAACCAATTGCATATAAGTGTTTTGCGATGGTTTGTAATTTATAATTTTGCGAAAAAGAATTGAAAAATAATGCGCAATAATACTTGATAAGCAGTGCAAATACGAACCAAGGATAGTGCCAATTGGTGAAGAACAAGCTAAAAGAATTCCAGAAAGATTGGCTAACTAGAGTCGAGACCGAAAAATTGCCTGGTTGGGAAGCCAACAACTTTTCTTTAAGGAAAATAGTGGTTTGTTTGAAAACTTCTTTGTGAAATCCTTCATTTTTGAGCAAGCAAAAGACTGTGCTGACGTCGGGCTTCAAAGTTAAAAATAGATACACGAATATTTGGCGTCAGTGTGCAGTTGTCCACGGTTAAATAAGACTACAAAGGTAAAAAACTCGTTAATGTGATGCATTCATATGTATTCTGTGTACCTTTATTGAGTGGATGAACAATTTTCATGCGATCAGCTGTTTCGCGTTTACATCTGACCTCGCTATAGTGCTACTGGTGGGACTGAAATGTTGTGCACAGCAAATAAATTCGAATTGGATAAACAATAGTGCTTTCTCTTTTGCGCTAGTACGTATTGTGTGACGTAGTCGTTGATTGTTTTTGTTAGTTCTGCTTGGCAGTGCAATAACATTTACATTTATCTGCTTACGTATCGTTACGTCTTTTATGGTCATCTCATTCGTTTTCATGGTTTCTGCTTTGGCATCTTCTGCATACGAATTTCGAATTTCCACTGCGACGAAGAAATATTGTCAAAAAGTGTCGAAATAAGCTGCGAAGCAAAAGCAGAGCGATAACTGAGCGAATAAGAAAAAAGTGGCGAGTGGACACAAACAGGAAAGTGGTTGCAGTAACAGTGAGAAAAAAGTGTTTCACAATTTATTTTCTTTGCGTTATTCAATATTATTTATGTTTGGAAAACAAGTGAAATATAAAAAGTATTTTAGCAATTAAGAGTAAGTTAAAATCGGTATAAGTGTGCAAGTGAATGTTTTCGTCGTATTTCGACCAGCTATCGGTGGCCCAGGTCATAGCGCTGCTGCTTAGTGCTCGTGATATTGGTGGTGGTTTTAACATATAGTATATTGTGTGTGCTCCCACCCCTTTAATAAATCACCCGCTGCAGCTGGTCCAGCTCCTTACCAGTAAGTGTTTTTAACGTCACTAGGCACAAGTGTAAGCGCGGAAGCCCTATTGTTGAGCACCTCCAGTTCGATAAACMTAACTTACCAGCATAATCTACAACATTTTTTAACTTGAACGCAACGCACAGCCGTCAAACTGGAGCGTATACCGGAGTATTTGCGCGACACTGTCGACTGGCTTATGGGGTAAGTGTCAATGACAATTTTCATAAATCTTAAACATAACTATTTTCCACATGTAACACTGCAAATATTGTTATATTTTGTTTTATTAAAAATATTACATTCTGGAAACATAAGCAACTACATATAAATATTACCACTACGCAGCTGACAAATATGATYCAGTTTCACCAAGCTCTGCACTACAGTTTACAATGTTATAAAATCCTCTCCAAAAYTGTCGTCCCCATGTCAACGCGACCCAACGCGGCCTAACGCTTAGCACTCACGTCAGCCGTCATTTGGGTGATCGCTGTGGGTGCACCTGCTGTAGGACACTTACGTAGCTACATGCTGTACATGTCATAGCCGAATACTTTGTACATTTTCGTTTTTTGGCTGCTGTATACAATGTACATTTTTACATATGTGCGCATATTAAATAGTGCTTTTTGTGCTGTGACCGCCTGCCACTTTTTGCCGATTGCTTCGTCGCTTAGTTGGCGGTTTGCCAATTGCCCTCATTTCAACAAATTTTGCCACTAATTCAGCCACCAACAAGTAATCTTGCTGCTTCTGCTGTTTTTGTGTGCGCTGTCCTGCTGTTGCCCACTGCCACTTGGCATAATATTCTCCTTACTGCTGTTTTATGCATTTTCTATACACTTGCTTGCTTATGTTTAACTTAATGTCATACTATGTCATTTTTCATTTCATTTACATGCCCCATCTATGTAGCATATCACCCACTTATCCACGTACAGCACAAGAAAACCTTATACACCAGCTCATACCTAACCATAAAATTACAGCTCGCTTTACGAATCACTCATCCATGTGTTTGTTTTGTATTTTTTTGTTATTTGCTGCCTTAGTTCTAAAATAGTTTGCCACACTCACTTGTTTTCATTTATGTACATATTATATGTATGAATACATAATCGGTTATTTGGGAAAATTTTCTGCCTGCTTGTTTTGTTGTATATTTGGCATTTTTCACACGCTTTTCCACATTCAAAGTTCGGCTAAATCGATGTTACTTATTGATTTCTCAATGGTTGTACTCTCCTTAGCTTCTCTGAAGTATTGTCTCCGTTTTCCATATTTTGGTCTTGCTATTTGTTATTCCTTTTGTTGTAGCACAAATACTTACAAACTGTTTTTGTTTTGGGTACAAAGATTTTCTTGTTACGCATTGTCGTCTGCCAGACATACTCTTGTGTTGGGGTCACTCCACAATTTGTATGTCAGCCTTTTGTGGCAGAATATTGTAAACAATTTTCTCTGCTGGCGAGTAGGGTCTCGTGCTTGTGTGTATGTGATTTATAGCTTTATTAATTCCAAATGCAGTGATTTTTGGTATTTTGGCATTGTGATTCTCGGCCGTGGCATACTGGTTTCACCATAACTGCTCGTCTTTTTGTACTATATACTGAACGGGGTATATTAAGTTGCCAAAAATTGTTTCCAAAGATATCTACAATCTCCGAAAAAAGTGTTCGGAGCGGCCCACTATAACCTATGGCTGCAATACAATTCCTACCACAGCCGGTTTTACSTTACCAGAATTGACCCCGACTATATCCTAAAGGCTAAAGGCAATTTTTTCAGCGATCTAACCCTGGGGTCCTGGGGACCCCTGCTGGGTCATTCCGGCTGGAAGGATCGCGGTATTCCGCCTCAATTTCACAGCCGAGACAGCTGCTTYAGCTAATGACCGCGAAACCTTACGCCAGGCCGGCGTTAATAAGCTTTGGACTACTGTCAAGGCTTTGTCTAACCCGAAGASACATGATGACCGAGTTGATATTCAATTTAATGAACATTCCTCTTCGCACCCGGGGACAAAGACTCGATGGTAGTAAGCTTCCTCACCAAGGTGCTCCACCTGTCGTTGACTAGTCTTCGAATACCCTATGTGTGGATAACTGGCAAAGNGGACAAAGACTCGATGGTAGTAAGCTTCCTCACCAAGGTGCTCCACCTGTCGTTGACTAGTCTTCGAATACCCTATGTGTGGATAACTGGCAAAGTGGTCCCACTACTGATACCTGGGAAACACGTCAACAACATCCCAAGCAAGCAACGAGTCTAACCACCTCTTTGCATGCCGAGCTAACSMTACTCRTCTGGCACCTCTATCTCTATGCTACGACCCCTTTTARAAAGCACGTTTCCTGGGCCTACCATTAGATAAGCTTTCTTATATGCCGTTATATCATCACTAAATTTGGGCGCAGATTATCGTCTAAGGTGRCAGTACMATCTTCGAAGTAATTGCTTAGATYCGATTACTACRCCAAAC